ATATAATTTTTTATTTTTAAAAAATTTCGAAAATATGTTTTCATTAACTTTACGGTAATTTCACTTCCTTTTCTTATTAAGATTTTATAATATCCGTTTATAATTGAAATAAATGTAATGAACAACTTTTTTTTTCGAACTAAATAAATTATCGGCAGCAAATTCGTCAAAGCTAAGGTGTATTTTTATATAAATATATGTATGTATCCCATATAAATATATATGCAGATATTATTTATATATATATTTATATACATATGTATATATAATATTTATATATGCAGTTATTGCAGATTTTGTTTCAATAAATACATTTCTTTAAATGTTACGAACAACAATGCCTTTAGACGTGACTATTGCTCCCCAACATGGTTATTGTTTCTAAACAATATTTTTCGAACAAAATACATTGATATCATTAAAATATTAAAATAATGTAGCTTAATTTATAATAAAAACACGAAATATTTTCTAATTTAGTGCGATAAATTGCATAATTGCATATATTTAGATAAACAAAAATATGTTTTTTTTTTTGCTGTTGAATTTGGCAGCTCAATTTCGAATCTAGAATAGTAATGCAAATACTAATAACTAAGAGGAAAATAGTATACAGAAATATTTTGTTCAAATGGATATCTACATATATTTGCTTAAATATATGTGCGACATTAAAAAAAACTTATTAAGTATGTAAATGAAATATAATATATTTTTATTTAAAAATAATATAAATTTACGCGTAAAGATTGTAAGTGGTACGAAGTGTCATTAAAAAAATATTTAAAAATCGTATAAAAAAAAATATATATATAGATATATATATATAGATATATATATATAGATATATATAAATCGGGTAAACAAAATTACTGAACAAAACAAGTATAAAAAAAGTAAGCCTATTTTACGTATTTAAAATTACATGTCCTTGTAAATGAAAACGAAACTCTATAAATGATTAACATACAGGTAAGAAGTTAGATTTAAGCTCACGCGAAAAAAGCGACCACAGAATTTCTGAGCATAACAAAGAAATTAATTATTTGCAAGCAAAAATTAATTTGCGTAAAAAATCGTAATTCACATTTTAAATTAATGCAATACTAAATTATATATATAAGTGCATACGTATATATATTGTATTGTTTTCGGGTTTAACAAATCGTTGAAGTTGATTTAGTAGATTTCTAATAGTTTTAAGCGTGAACCGGCAAGCGTTGTATAAATTCAATTTGAGAATATACCAAAATAGTTGATTACCGTTTGTTACTGTTTACATACAAAAATGTGTTGGTATGTATGTACATATATGTATATCAACAGTAAAATAAATATTACAAAAAGTATATAAAACAAAAAAAAAAAACACTGTAAATAAAAGGCAATAACGAACTAACTAAGTCTTCGAAGCATTATGTTATTTCAAGTGAAATGAGTATCACACATACAACCATACGAAACTATTATAAAGTCGAGAAGTCATTTATTGTGCAATCTTTATGCAACTCACAATAAAAATAAAATAATAATAAAAATCACCTTTTTTCGCATGTGAGTGGTGATGGTGGGCAAAATTACATGTTTAAAATTAAATATGATAAAAAAAGTATATATATAATAAATAAATATATGATTAAAAAGAAATTATATGCATACATATGTATACATTCAAAATAAAAACAACCGTACAAAGCCAAATATTTTAGAAAGATATGTAGCAGTAAAAATGGTAATATTTCCTTAAAACAAAAACACGATAAAGTTTGCTCTAAAACGTTAATCAAGAGCTGCTAAGTAAAATAAAAAACATGAAAAAATGTCAGATAATAATAAGAAAAGTTGCTGTAAGAAAACCAATATCACAAAATAATAATAACACTTATTAAGATTACAAACACATTTGAAAAATAATATTTTTTATTATTATTCCTTTAAATAGAATTTATTTTTTAAAAATGTAATTTTTTTTTTTTTACCAAAACAAATCCTTTTTGAATACTAATTACGTAAAATTAGCTGTTAAAAGCATCGTTTGTTAGCAATAATAAAGTTCAACTTTCTTCCTTTCAACGTTTCCTTAATTTATGGATATTTGTGGCAGAATGAAAATGCACAACACTACATAGATACCTTAAAGTAAGTTACAAGCATAATGTACGCCGTATTCATTTACAAAACAATTTTCTTCGTTGTAACAGTAATTTATTGTATAAGTAAAAAAGTAATTGAAACAAAAAGCCGTAGCATAAATGTTTTTGTTGGAAAACACTTCAGTTATTGGTACAGCAAGTCATAAGCGTGCATTTGTATTTATTAAGTAGCTCTCGTAATTTTAGTATATTTTGTTATTGCTTATATAAGACCTTGCCTTGCAAAATTTGTATTCTGCGTGGAAATAGCAACAAGTGAGCATATACATATATGTAAGTAACTAACAATAAATAAGTGCATTTTATTACATTATTATGAATATATTTAACTGACGATTTAAAGTTTATTGTAGACAAAACGAACACTCACAATTATTGTGTAATTATCAATACGCTAGCAATTTATTAGTGTACATACATTTCGTTCGCTTTATATATATTATGTAGATGTACACACACCTTATTCTAAATATATATACTTATAACACTATTAAACAAATGAATTCTTTATGTTTGTACACATTTCGTCGAAGAAAAACACCGTATTTTATTTTGTTGTTATTTATTGTGATAATTTCTAAGTAAAAGTTAAATCCTTTTATTCTACTGAATATTGCAACGTAAAATAAATAAAAACTATCCAGAGAATTTTAAAATTTTTAAACACATCTTTTTTATTTCCCATGGATTGAGCAGGTGTTTTGAGGTAAGTGATGYATTGTTGTTGCATACAGTTTTCTGAAAGATTTCACGTGTTTGAATACAAATGCTGTTGGTGTCTAGCGCAGAAAACATTCTTCAAGAAATTTCGATAAAAAACCGGGTACGTTGCGGTTACTTGGACCCGAACAAATAAGCTCCAATCTTCAATGGCTTCATCAAATTTCCAATGAGAAAATAAAATAAAATAATAATGATAAAAGTAAAAAATGAAAAGTTCTTTAGCTGGCGGCTAGCTTAGTTTAAAATCACCTTGTGACTTCCAAATCAAATGCGGAGAGTCGGAATAAATAGAGAGATATTCGGAAATCCCCCCACATCCCATTTCCACACCCTCACTTATGAGAAAGCATCATTTTGACGATTTTCTCCTCAAAAACCGGCGATTTGGGACACATTTTTATTTTTCTAAATTTCTGTGTAAATCCAAATTTATTTTTTCTTAAGTAAAAATATGCTCCATGCGATTCTGCAAATTTCTGCATTTTTATTTTTATTCTACGACCAGTAGTTTAGAAGTTATAAGCATTTTTGTATTCGCTGTTTTCGGCGGCTGCTTGCTGCATGCTCCTGGTCGCCTGGTGGAAATCTGAGATTTTGGCACCAAATTGAATGCAATTTTTCTGCAGCGGCGGTGGATGCGCAACAAATCTGGTGCATACGCAAAGGGGCAAAATGGGAACACGGATGCGGGCATATACATTGCATACACAAAGGGGCGGAATGGGAACACGGATGTGGACCGCCCGGAAATGGAAGCAGGACCCCGACCGGAAAAGGAATAACGGTATCCCACTTCCGGCCCGAAAGCAAACCGGAACTAATATATCGGAACCGGAAGTTGGTGTGGCGCTTCCGGTTTGAGGAAGGGACCGGAAGAGGTCTACCGGAAACGGAAGACCCAAACCGGAACCCGRATTGACAAGAAAATACCTTCCATTTCCGGTAGACCACTTCCGGTCCTCCCTCAGGTAGGAAGTGGCATATCATTTCCCGTTTCCGGACGGTAACTTCCGGTTCCGATTTATTACTTCCGGTTTGGTTTCGGGCCGGAAGTGGGATACCGTTATTCCACTTCCGGTCG